TCAGCGGTTCGAATCCCTGTGACGGGGTGAGCTCCTGTTGCTCGGTCCCTGCTCCTGCCAACCTAGCAATTCGAAAGCACGTCAAAGTGCAAGTAGATAAATAGGCAAACGGCGTTTCTGGCGGGAAGGTAAACAGCGTTTCTGTGTGCTGCTCTGGTTCGCCAGAAGCGGCTTAGTCATGCTGGCCACATGGCCCAGAAAAACTGTCTGCGGACAAAACGCCGGACCCCTCGGCCTATAGAGCAAGATGAGCGCCGCAAACCCAAAGTCGCCCGCGACTGGACCTAACGGTCAGTGGTCCCTTTACCTTTACTTTGACAAAGCAGCACCCCACACTTAATAAGTGAGATTGTTTTCTTCTGATATGATAGTAACAGTTGTGAGTCTATATGTTTGCATTTAGTGCAGAAGACATAACTCTACTGCTTTCACGTCCAAATAAATTAGGCACCAAACACATAGCCACTGATTCTTAGACTCTCTACGTACCCTTCAAACCCAATCAAATCCCGTTCCTCTCCTTCTATCATCCGGAGAAAAAGAGCATTGCGCCTGAGCTTTAGGAGAGAAATATAATATGATCCATGAGACGGTTGCTCTGACACATGTTATTATCTGTCCTGGAGAGGAGGTTGTCGCACTCCACTTCTCAAATCAAATAAGGAGGGGAGAGGATGGGCTGCAAGAAAAGAAACAGCCCCTGTATTTCAGAAACCAGGTGTGTGTGGATTTTAAAAATTATAACCCAGCCACGATTCCGCTTTCCAAGGCATTGGGGCAGGTGTACCTAGGGTCAAAGGCGTCTCTATAAAAATGTAAAAAAATGAGGATGGATGAGAAGGAGGGAGAGGATATTTTATGTATAGATAATTCAATAGCTGTGTGGCCTGGAGCGACGACGCTCCAGCGACTTTGTCCCTGCTTTAATTACAATACTGTTGCAAAACTGCACTATATCCTGTAGCGATTCCTTGATCTCACATATTGACCGGATGCACACTTCATTTGAAGAATGAGAAAGCCTTTGTTTGCACAGAGGAGGTGTGTGTGTACTCATTTAATTACACTGTTCCCCATCATGAACCAAGAGTCCGCAAGATCCAGCTCTTCTGAACTCCCCTGCCTACATTTTGCTTCGGTGATGCTCTGTTTCTTTAGGACTTCCTCATCAAGGCCAGTTCTAATACAGAAGGCAGCACAACCTTTTAATATAAAGGATGTAAACAAAAACCAGTGGGTTCACATCCTCTCCGAATGGACGAGATGCATTTGGGAGAACCGTGGGCAATTGGAGCACATCGCCCATCCAGCCCACCTGCCAGGGCCCATGAGAAATGTGCCAGTGCAACAGAAATACTCCTGTCACCAGAATACCCCAGTAAAAAAGACAGATGCCCGCTTGGCCACGGAATAAACTTTTTACCTGTTATGTCAGCTGTTGGAGGCTGTGATCGCACAGTACCAGATGCTCTGTTACAGCCCCCAGAAGAACATTTATAGGTTCTTTTCCTAATGTTAAACAGGAGGGACATAGAATAGGCCTGGCCACACACAGTTCTTAAGGTGAACCCAGCAGATCAGCGGGAGTTACTTGATCAGTCTAATTAGCAGATAGCTTTATGCAGACCTCTTCCCATGTGTCCCTATTTTCTTTTTCTTTTTCTAATATTATTATTGAGAATTTCAACACAATAATTTTAACAAAAATACATCATCCACATTGTTCCCCCCCATTTCTCCCCCCCCAATCCCTCCCAGCGACTTCCCTCAGCTCCTATCTCTGGTTTCTCAACATATGTTTTTAGCTGCATGTTATGAAATTGTAATGATCCTCAATTTATCTACCTGTAGATTACCGATAAAGATTTGTTGAATGTTTATTCAAAACCTGCCAAGGAGTCCAATTCGTATTGTTGTTTCTTCAGATATTTCGTGAAAGGTTCCCATTCATCTTTAAATTCACAGTTATCTTTGTCACGTAATTTATGTGTCAGTTTTGCCAATTCCGCATAATCCATCAGTTTTTCTTGACACAGTTCTTTCGTCGGGGTTTCTTCATTCTTCCATCCTTGTGCTATTAAGACTCTTGCCGCCGTTGTCAAATACATAAAAATATATTTAAGTTTCTTTGGCAGGTCTTTCCCCATAATCCCTAACCAAAAAGCTTCAGGTTTTTTCACAAATGTTAAATGAAACATTTTCTTTAACTCGTTATTTCCCAAAACATTTTAATTTTACTGCAATCCCACCACATATGATAAAAAGTCCCTTCTTTTTCCTTGCATTTCGAACATAGATTTGAGCCTTTTTTGAACATTTCCCCTAATTGTACTGGTGTTATATACCATCTGTACATCATTTTCATGTAATCCATGTGTCCCTGTTTTCCGGGGACAGTCCTGGATTTACAGAAGACGTCCCGGTTTCAGATTTGATCCCAGAATGTCCCGCTTTTCCTTAGGACGTCCCTATTTTCATCAGAGAAATGTTGGAGGGTATGGAGTTATGTACCCTCTGAGCCAAGGAGAAGGGAAGGCAGCCAAGTGAGTCTGGGCCAAAGGGGGATCAGCCTTTTTCCTGGCCCTCTCCCCACTCCCAGCTGGCAGCCGATTGTCCTGCTGAGATGGGGGCGGGGCGACGGTTGCCCTGTAGCAAGATGGGTGGCACCTAGGCCAGGTAATCCCACGCGGTGTCGCAAACCCCGCCCACCTCTTGGGAGGGGGTGAGTGGATGTTCCAAGAAAGGCAATGAAATACAGTGGTCACCTGTTAGCCCAGAAATGGAAGCAAGAAGAAATTCCGACGAAAGAAGAATGGCAGATGAAAATAATGGACTATGCAGAATTGGACAAAATGGCAGGAAGAATTCGAAACCTGAGGGACCAGAGATTTACAGAAGATTGGAAGAAGTATATGAACTATTTGAAGAGCAATTGTAATCAACAAATTACGCTAGTAGGACTACAAGACGTTTTGTAGGGAGAAATATATGAAGTGCTACAAAGTAGATAAAGAATAGAGAAATTGGTTATGAGTTTTAAATGTAACAGGGAAAATAAGAAACGTATACTAAGAGATTAGATTGGAAAATTTTCAGACTGGACTGATGGAAGTCAAAATATTGAATAAGATGTAAAAATATGTTTAATTACTGTTGAAAATGGTATGTTAAAAAAACTAATAAAAATTATACATATAAAAAAAGAAATACAGTGGTCACCATTTTTGAAAGCTTGGAGGCCCGTATTTTAATGTCCCACATCTAAGGTGACACAGACGCTGTAGTTTCTGGCTTTAAAATAGGGACAGCTTTCCCTTTAAAAACAAAATGAATGAGCTCCATTTATGTCATTTGATTGATTTCAGCTCACAGGATAAACTATGCCCTAAAAAAGCATAGTCTGAATGAATACTAGGAGAAGACAACATGGAGAAGGAAGTAGCAAAGACACCAAGCAACAGAGAGAAACAGAGACACAGGAAAGGCAAAACTAACAAGCGATGAATGTGAGCAAATGAAGGAACCGAGACTGGCAGAGAGACAGTTGCCCAAAGTGAGTGTGTGTCTTAATTTGAACCCAGAACTCTTCAGCCCACACCCAAAACTATCCACTGTGATGTCACTGGAACACTACAGCCCCATAAAACCGCATGGGAAGCGTGCCTTTAAAAGCATGCTGCTGCTGTGCTATATTTTCTTTTTGACATTTGTTGTTGTTGTTGTCGTTGTCTACCACGTCTTCCAGAACTAGTTACAGAGCTTAAGAGGCCTTGGTTTCTAGCTCACTAGATTCCCTCCCTCCATCTAAAAGTCGGGAAGGGAGAAAATTTTTGCTCCCCTCTGTGTCTTCTCCCTAGCCCAATCTCAGATCTCTTTTTCGAGCTGTGATAGGATCCTAAGATTTTCTCTCTCTCTCAGCTGCCTATTCTGTACCTCTGCTTCAGTGGCTAAAAGGCAGCAGCTTTCTTAGCAGGCAAGGGAGGTGAATGAAACTATTTCACTTGAGGAAATTTAAAATCTCGGATCAGCCCAGCCTTCTACTCCCACCCTCTGATTCATGGATTCATTGGCAAAGAAAGCCAGCCCATAAAACGCTTTTCAGCCCAAACCAAAACACATTAAATTAAAACCACATGAATAAACAGCTGTTCCCGCTCCTTCTTTTTTTTTTTACACTGGGACAGTGGATTAACTCATCTTAAAGACCGCAGATTGCAAATCGAAACACAGCACTGTTGATTTTAGCAGAGCTGCATCAACTTACACCAGACGAGGGTCATGAGGAATAAATAACGCTACAGGGAGAGGGACTATCGACAGCCAATGATTACAAATCCTGTAGAAACTTTCGCGTGGGGACCTATTGATGAGTGAGGTTGTTATCAGTCCCTGCCACCGAGGAACATTCAAGCCTCCATCTGGCAAGGATGAGGAGCAAAATCTTTGGCACTGACACAAACGCTTTGCGTAGCTCACCTAATGGGTCATTGATAAGGGAGCGCATGGGAGCAAGGGACAGAAGTGCCTGACAAGGACAATCAATCCATTTTAATGGGTATTATTAATTTGCTGCAGAAATTGAGCTTTGATGACAAGGAGGCTGACGAAGCCTCAAATTTCAGCCATCAGTCATCCACTTCCACCCGATTTTAGCCAGCATCTGATTCATTAATCACATGCTCGCTAGCAAAGCCTCCTCCCCCCCCACACACACCTTTGATTGGGGAGGGAATTTAAGACATACAGGTTTGACAAATCCCAACCCTCCAAGTGTCCCTACTTTCCAGGAACAGTCCCAGAGTTACAGAAGCCAGCCCGGTTTCTGATTTGATCCTGGAATGTCCCACTTTTCCTTGGAATGTCCTTATTTTCATCGGAGAAATTTTGCAGCGTATGGAGTGATGCAGTCGCCGAACCTAAGAAATAAGAAACTGCACAACCTTTAGAAGGCATCTGAAGGCAGCCCTCTATAGGGAAGTTTTTTTTAATGTTCATTATTTTATTATGTCTTAATATATTTTGGAAGCTGTCCAGAGTGGCTGGGGCAACCCAGTCAGATTGGTGGTGTACAAATAATAAAATTGTTATATAATAATAATAATAATAATAATAGTAATAATTTATTATTTATACCCCACTCATCTGGCTGAGTTTCCCCAGCCACTCTGGGCGGCTTCCAATCAAGTGTTAAAAACAATACAGCATTAAATATTAAAAACTTCCCTAAACAGGGCTGCCTTCAGATGTCTTTTAAAGAGAAGATAGCTGCTTATTTCCTTCACATCTGAAGGGAGGGCATTCCACAGGGCGGGCGCCACTACCGAGAAGGCCCTCTGCCTGGTTCCCTGTAACCTCACTTCTTGCAATGACGGAACTGCCAGAAGGCCCTTGGCGCTGGATCTCAGTGTCCGGGCTGAGCAATGGGGGTGGAGACGCTCCTTCAGGTATACAGGGCAGAGGCCGTTGAGGGCTTTAAAGGTCAGCACCAACATTTTGAATTGTGCTCGGAAACGTACTGGGAGCCAATGCAGATCTCTCAAGACCGGTGTTATGTGGTCCTGGCGGCCACTCCCAGTCACCAGTCAGTTGCTGTTGTTGTCATTGTTGTTGAATAGGATGTCCCTATTTTCATCGGATAAATGTTGGAGGGTATGCGAATCCCAAAATGCTGACCACATCTAAAAGGAAAATAGAATGGAGGAATTTTACTTGCAAAATTAATCATCTTATAAAGAATGGGCAAACTGCCAGTATGAGATGCTGTTGCAAATGAATGTTCTCTGTGAAGAGAGATTGCTTATTAAACCATTTGGAGACCTGCAGCTTTGTAAGGAGAATAGGAGGCACCAGGTAAGGCCCTCAATTTAGGAGAGGTCTTATCAGAGGGCACCACATCAAGAACCCCCTTGTAGTTGCAGCCAATCCTTTATATGAGGAGTAGAGTGGGAGGCAGGCAACAGAAGGTGGAAATAGGGAAACAAGAGTGCTATCTGGGCTCAGGCAGTTAAGACCAGAGTGAGGCAGCTGGCAGGCAGCAGGTCACCAGCCTGAGGTTTTTTAAGGAGTTTATACAAGGTTGGAAGCCAGTCTTAGGTTTCAGAAATCATTACTTCCTGCTCTCTTTGCATAGTTGAATTCCTGGATCTGGGGCTGGGCCTCCTAAATCTATCACATAGGGGGAATTGCCTTTACAGTAGCAAAACTGTCCAGAGAGGAGTCAGTTTATTTGCTGTTTCCAGATTATAATGACGATACAGTTGTGGAACACACATGAATGGATGGGTGTAAGATAACAAAAAATGGAGGTAATTGCAGGCAGGAGGTGATGGATCAAATCAGACATATTCAATTGGGGTTTTTAAGAAAATCCAGCAACGATCATGCAATGTCAGCCAACAGCAGTTTCCCCAGTGAAGTAAAGCCTTGCTGTCTATTAATAGCTGTCTATTAATAAATCAAGAGGGCTACTGAAGAGTTGTTCATCAAATCCAAATGGGTGCAAACTGGGGAAATAATCACTTAGTCTTTGATCAGCAGCAGGCATTGAATGTTCACACCACATAATGAGTCAGCCAGGAATCGTTACCAATAATGGCAATGTTTGCAAGAAATATGGGAGAGAAAAAACAAACCAGAAAAAGTATTTGCCTTGTTTCAGTTTAAGGGAATATGAGAACAAAGGCAGAATTCTGAAGAACGTCTATGGACCCAAAACTACAGGAGGCGGGTGGAAATGTAAAGAAAAAGAAGGCACCTTTTACCATATGTGGTGGACGTGTCCAAGGGTGAAAGACTTCTGGGAAAAGATATATAATGAATTGAAAAAAATGTTGAAATGTACATTTATTAAGAAACCAGAAGCCTTTCTACTTGGAATAATAGGAAGGGAATTGCCCAAAAAAGATGTTAGATTGTTTTTGTATGCCAGCGAGAATTTTACTAGCCAAAAATTGGAAATCACAGGAAATACCAACAGTGGAAGATTGGCAGATGAAGATGTTGGACTTTTTGGAGCGGGCCAAGCTTACTGGAAGAATCCGCGATCAGAAAGAGGAGGAATACCAAGAAGTATGGAAGAATTTTAAGGAATATTTAGCAAAATATTATAATATAATATAAGTGGAAATACTTGCAAGCACTAAATTTGGCTTAGGATTAAAGTATGTTGAACTGTATAATAATATGGATTGAGAATATTTTGAAAAGAGAAGAAATTAGTAATTTGAACAAGTAATTTTATTAGAAAGTGGATATTGGAAAATTGCTAAAATGAGATTTAATGAAAATCAGTTAGGGTTTGAGGAAGTCTTTTAATAATGGAATTTAACTTGGATTTGTACCTGTAAGAAGTATTGTATGTATGTTTGTTTTTCTTTTTTATATGTTTTGCTATTTGTCTGTCATTTTGTGTCTTATTTGTTATAAATTTGGAAAACCAATAAAAAAATTGGGGAAAAACAACAACAAAACTACAGGAGGCGGGCTCTGGAACAAGGAATCCTTCTTGCATCAACAGCAACAGAAGAGGCCAATGGCAATTCCAGGGCCATTCTGACTGCTTACTTGCTGGTCTGGACAACTAGGAAGCTTCCTGTATCACAATTCCACCTGATTAACCCTGGAATTGTGAACATTTCTCTGCAATAGGAGGTGGTATCAGCCTATCACAGGATGGAGGTATCACCTGCTAAACAAATGCACAAATGTCATTGTCAAGAAGAGTCATATGTCACAGCATATGATGACACAGCAATGCCAATCAATAGCTTGGCTGGGGAAATGGTTATCACAGCACAGCACACTCCTGAAGCAAAAGATGGCACTTCAAAGCACCTATTGGTGGGACGCAAGCTTGCAAAGCACGAGATTATCACCTGAAAATGCCTGTCTCTGTTATTCATATAGGGAAACAAGAGTGCTATCTGGGCTTAGGCAGTTAAGACCAGAGTGAGGCAGGGCCTTTTCAACACTGGCTCCGGCCTGGTGGAACGCTCTGCCTCATGAGACCAGGGCCCTGCAGGATCTGATTTCTTTCCGCAGGGCCTGTAAGACAGAGTTGTTCCACCTGGCCTTTCGCTTGGAGCCAATCTGATTCCCTCCCCCTCTTTCATTTTCCTTTTTCCTTTCTCCTCCTGTGATGAGGCTGCATTTTAATATTTTAATATTTTAATTGTTGTATTTTAATCTTGTTTTTAAGTTGTATTCATTCAACTTGTTTTTATTATTGCTTGTTAGCCGTCCTGAGCCCGGCCTTGGCTGAGGAGGGCAGGGTATAAATAAAAATTATTATTATTATTATTATTATTATTATTATTATTATTATATGAATTGGCTCCTGAGTCATTTGTTCAAGGTCTTGTCAAGAGTCCGTGATGGAACAAGGAAACAAACCTAGGTTTCCTGGGGTCTAGCTGAGGTAGAGATGAGGGAGAAAGTAAACCAAACTTGCATTTGAAGACAAATCTACCTAATTTACTTTTCCTAAAACAAAAGAGAAGAAAACTTGCAGCATCCTTTGAATTTTGCACTTTTCTGAATTTTGCAATGTAGTTCTCCATGTATTGTATATGAATATGTATATGCATATAGTAGGGAAAGTAAATGCAGATATTAGTGGAAATAACATCCAAAAGTAGAAATTGCTTGCAAAAATGTATATATTTAGCAAAATTGCATGCAAATGCTATGTTGGAAGATATTTGCACTAACGAATTGATGAATTTTCCTTGAGGAATTAAAAAATAATAATTCACAAACAGATATTGAAATGTGGAGAACTGGACTTAAGCTTGGAAAAACAAGAAGCTAAGAGGAACAAAAAATGACAGACCACAAAACTGACCCACCACAGATTTGGCCCTCCAGACCTTATTGGAATACAGTGGGACCTCGGGTTAAGTACTTGATTCATTCCGGAGGTCCGTTCTTAACCCAAAACTGTTCTTAACCTGAAGCACCACTTTAGCTAATGGGGCTTCCCGCTGCGGCCACACCACCAGAGCACAATTTCTATTCTCATCCTGAAGCAAAGTTCTTAACCCGAGATACTATTTCTGGGTTAGCTGAGTCTGTAACCTGAAGCATATGTAACCTGAAGCGTATGTAACCTGAAGCGTATGTAACCCGAGGTACTACCTCAGGTGCTTAAGACACACTTTAAAGGTAAAGGGACCCCTGACCATTAGGTCCAGTCGTGACCGACTCTGGGGTTGCGGCGCTCATCTCGCTTTATTGGCCGAGGGAGCCAGCGTACAGCTTCCGGGTCATGTGGCCAGCATGCCTAAGCCACTTCTGGCGAACTAGAGCAGCGCATGGAAACACCGTTTACCTTCCCGCCAGAGCGGTACCTATTTATCTACTTGCACTTTGACGTGCTTTCGAACTGCTAGGTTGGCAGGAGCAGGGACCGAGCTCACTCCGTCGCGGGGATTCGAACCGCCGACCTTCTGATCGGCAAGTCCTAGGCTCTGTGGTTTAACCCACAGCGCCACCCGTGGAATACATCCCCCTTAATGCCTGACCACTGGCCATAGTTGCTGTGTCTGCTTGGAGCTGGATCCTAATAACATCTGGAGGGCCACAGGTTCTCCACCAGTGTTGCAGAACATATCAAGGAAATGGCTGTTGCTTCTCAACTTAGAGCCTCTACCTTTCCCGGCTTGTTATGAAAAGCAAAGCGTGTTGCAGCTGCTTTTCGCTGCCTGCCACATTGCGTATGTTGCGGGTATCATGCATATCACTAATTTATCCTGAAGCACACCAAGGTCAACTAGGGTGCAATGCTCAGAGACCAGAGTGAGAAAAAAGTTCTTGACAGCAGCAAGCAAATCTCTGGTTTCTGTCAAGCCCTGACGGAGGTTTCCAGGGCTGATACGGCAGCTGGCTTCTCTATGAAGGCTGCTGCAAGGAGCGTGGCTCTAGATCTTTTGCTGGCGAGGGCTGAGAGAGCATCTTTTAAAGAGAAAAGGCACAGAAATAGCATATGTTCTACTGAAGGGAATGTAGGTAGCAATGGGTAGAAACATAAAGCAAAAACTTAACATTTCCAGTTTGAGGGAGTTTCTTTTGTCGTACCTTTGTTCTTAGAAGTCTTGTTGAGTTCAACAGGTAAGTTTATAGGGCAATCTTGTACAGTGGTACCTCGGGTTAAGTACTTAATTCGTTCCGGAGGCCTGTTCTTAACCTGAAACTGTTCTTAAC